TTGTTTTATCACAGAAAGTGCTTCTAATTCTGTCAGTTTTGTACATAAAGAGACATAATTTAGTGTGGTGGTTGCAAAGAGTCACCCTTAACTGATTTGAGTATAAATAAAGGTTGAATGAATGAATGAATGAATGAATGAATGAATGAATGATTGATAACATATTTCACAAGATGAGATTGTGGCGGCCACATATCAACCAGTTATGAAAGTGGTAGTCCATCTTTCACCGCTGATCCATAGTCGGGTCGTGGAGGCAACAGGTCCAGGAGAGAAACCCAGACAGCCCCTCTCAGCAGTACAGTGAAACTCTTGAGCTCCAGCTGAATCCCAAGTTCTGGGTCTGGAGGCCTTCTACCAGGGGACTTACCTGAAACACCTCTACATGGAGGAGTCCTAATCAGATGCCCAGACCACCTCATCTGACTCTTTGATGCGAAGGAGCAGCGGCTCTACTCCGAGCTCCCCCTCGACGATGGAGCTCCTCAGGCTGAGTTGACCACCCTACGAAGAAGTTCATTTGGGCCTCTTGTATCTGGGATCATCTTTTGGTCACAGTCCAAACCTCATGGCCACAGGTGTTGTACACACAAGTAAATCAAGAGCTTTGATTTTCTACTCAACTCGTTCTTCACCATGACAGACCGAAGCACGTTCATTACTGAAGATGAGGCACGACACGTGTTCCTTCAAGGATTATTAGGTCTTGACTTTAGTGAGGAATAAAAGCAAACCTGACTTTTCAGATTGTAAAACTCTGATAGTCGGCGTGTGATTTTATTTTGAAAGTCTGGACCAGAAGTGTCCTTTCTTGTCCTTGCTGACTTCACGACGGTGATGCTGCAGTGTGCTGGTCCGGACCGGTGTCTGTCTGCTGTGGGTCGGTGCACAGAGCCGTCCTCGGGTTGTGTTCTGGGTTCCGGTCAGAACCAGTGAGCGGACTGGAGCAGCTGCAGCGGGCCCACCAGGAGGTACGTGCTCCTCATGATGAGCCTCGGAGATCTGCAGCGGGACCATCCTCTCTGTGCATGCACACTTTTGTTTGCACGTCCCCGGCTGTAGGTGTGGGTGTCTGCTCTGCCTGGGGGGTGTAATCACCACACATCAGATCTCAGGGCTGCAGGTTTATATTTATATTCTGTTTAAGGGGTGGGGGTGGGTGGGGCAGCCTAAAGTGGGTTTAGGTCGCTAATGAGAACTGATGGGGGTTCTTTGTGCCACAGAATGTTTTCCTCTCTGAGCAACCAATAAGCCAACAAGTGATGAGAATCTCATGAATCTGTTTCCAGTAATGTCTGAAGCAAACCCTCACGTGCTGATTCGCTTCTAAACAGTTGCATCAGTCCAGTGGGGGAGAGGAGGACATCCCTCCATCTGTCTGCCTTCAGATCTGGGTTTGCGGAGGAGTCATTGCCTGGCACAGAAGTTGCCGCACCCTCACACGTTACGCGTCCAGCACGCACGCACAGACGCGCACACACGCACAGTTCCTCCCATCAGCACCACAGCCTGAAGGGAGGGAGCAGATTGTTTCTTTGTTCAGGACTGTACTTCCTCTCCATCAGCAGCTCCTAATGAATCAGACTCATCTAATATTTTCAGTTTGTTCCCTTCTCTGTCAGATCTCGGGCGTTTGGACTTCACCGTGGCAAGGCTTCAGAAGATGTTAGAAGCATTGTTTTCAAATTTGTGGTCAGAAATATCCATCCATCATCATCCATCCATCCATCCATCCATTGGAAAGATCTCCAGTCCATCACAGGGACACCTAGGGACAATTTAGAGTTACCAGCCTAACATGCATAGCGACCATGTAATAGGCTGATAACATCCGAACCGGGTGAAACCTGGAGAAAACCCACGCAGCACGGAGAGAACATACAAACTCCACCCAGAAAGGTCCCTGGCCAGGATTTGAACTAGTGACCACTGACAGGCAACTGCACCACCGTGCCGCCCTAGTCAGAAATAGTCCAGTTTAGATGTTTAATTAGTGGCTACAACAACACCATTTAAATAATTTAAATGTGTATTCAAACGTTTTAGAACTAATTTGGTTTTATCCTTTTAATTACTTATTTAAATTAAATATAACTCGCCGTTAAAAGGTATGTGCCTGTTAGCAAAATACCTCATGAACCAAGCTTAGATAAAGTACCGGTAATCATTAGATGTACTTCTACAACTGAATAACGTTTGGCGTCAAGCCAATTCAAGATGGCCGTCACAGTTAATCAGTCTTAGTAAACACAAAAAATGTCTGTAACTCAGTCAGTTCTGGAGTGTTGGTAACTGAGCATCATCCCAAATTCATACTCCGAGCACCACAAACATGAGATCGTTGCTTAAAACTTATAACTATAGCTTTTGATGTCAGTCTTGTTTGTCTTTCAGCAAAATATTCCGTTAAAAACTGGACAAATTTTAATTATACTTTCAGGAAACACTCCTTTGTCATCATGTTTACAACTTAAACAAAAGTTTATCACATTTAAATTGGGGACCATGGTAGATCTTAGCCCACATGACATTTGTCGCAGCGTTGTCACATTTACAGATATTGATGTAAAATTTGAAGAAGTTGAGTGTTTGGTTTAAAAGCCACTGGGACGTTATGTTTAGAAAATAAACGTCTCAGTTTCTCTGATACCCCCTCAACATCTGGAATGACCACTGGTCTGGGTCTGGGTTCCTCCTTTTCACCTGATGGCTGACTGGAGTCCTGTTTGGGGTTCTTCTTTCAGGAAGGCCCAGTTAGGATATCCACATTGCTCTAGAGCCTGTCTTGTGTAGGATTTCTCCTTCTGCCTGGCTCCTGAGCTAGTGGGGACGCTGTCTGCTCTGTGGTACAGAGTCCTGATGCCTCCTAACTTGTGCTCCAAAGGGTGATGGGAGTCAAACTGCAAATACTGGTCTGTGTGGGTGGGTTTGTGGTACACCTCAGTTTGCAAATGTCCTCTATCAGAGACTGAGACCTCACAGTCCAAGAAAGCCAACCTGCCATGACAGAGAGGAGTGAAGGAAGCCATCTCTGTGAGGAGAAATCGTCCATCATTAAACAAGGGCGGAGCCTCCATGTCCAACTGTCCCCCTCCTACAATGTTGTTATTGCTAGTATCACTCAGCCCTCTGTGAATAGCAAGCGGCCATCAGGGCACTAACAATCAGTCATTAGGCTGATGGTCTTCCTTGATCATGTGAACAGCTAGTTCTGGATGTCACCAACAAACTGGGTGAACCACTATGAGAAGGTGCTATTTATGACTGAGCTCGTTGCTGCTCCTCAGACTGAAGAAGTCTTAGATAAAAGATGAAACGTTTCAACCAAGAAGAACCCGTCCAGAAGACCTGACTCAACCTTGTTAGAAGTAGAAAGCATAGATTCCTCACATGAGTGGGGTGGCCTGTGTACTCGTATTTATGCAAACAAGTTTATATGGTGGTGGTGACCATCTTGGATTTTGACTTGACAGCCCAATTTTTATTAAGGGCCTTGAAGTTAACGTATATGCATATGTTAGCCATCTTGGATTCTGATGTGGAAACCCAATTTTCTAAAAGAACCTTTCTCATGCCTAGATGTAGCCGCAATGGAAGTCAGTGCCTCCCTTATTTTTCAAGTTATCACGTTCACAACATGCATGGACAGACTGGGGGGTAATTCCAATTCCCCTTTTCCTCTCCAAAGGGTACGTTTACCATGTAAAATTGCTGTTGCATATTGTCCATCGACTGCACTGATTTAGAAAGTTCTGGACCAGGATCAGCCATAGAAAATCCCATACCACTTGATATTATGCTTTCCAACCCTCTGTTTGGTTTTATTTGGCCTCCACAGTACGTTGCACATCATTGTACATCACTTTATATGCGTCACTCCTTCCAAGATAATGGCCTTTTTGATCCTTGTTGGTCTCATTGTGACCCCCCAACTGGACTCAGCTTGTGTGTCACCAGTGTCCACGTCATGTTTCAGGCGGTGACTGACACGGTCCCCTCAGAGTCGGAGCTGATGTCAGTCACGGTGTGACAGACTGGACACAGAGCATCGCTGAGCTGTTCCTCTTCGCTTTAGCTCTTTGTACGCACTGGGTCAGAATGAGGTATTCCTTTAATCTCTGACTTTTCGTTAATCTATTGAGAACTAACCGTTAGCTGTAATAATGTGAACGCTGATTCAGCAATCACGTTATTGTTTTCTTTTTGGTTTTTCTCTTTACTTTCTTTAGTAACTGACCACGTCTGTATACTTTGGTATTTTAACGATTCTTATATCGAATCATCAAGCTCACTGGGAAAATGGATGCTATGAGTTTTGACTTTTGTAACTTTTACACTTCTTAAAACTCAACTTTATTTAAAAGGATTTATTGTCCTCATAGAAACAAATTGAAATATCTTGAATTCCTTCAAAAACGTTGTTTTCCTTTAGAAATCTGCTTCAAGGAACTTGTCCTGCTTTTGTCTTTGCTTCTTTTAGCTGTTATTTAAGCTCTAACTAATGTTTTAGAAAAATAGCTCCTAGCTAACCTTTTGATACTTTTAACCATCATTTTTAGCTTTAACTAGCTGCTTTTAGCATGCTTTTGATTACATTCAGCATGTTTAGCCTCTTGTAAAATTTTACCTACCTTTGCTGTTTTTTGCTATTTTGCTGCTTTTTTTCATTCAACCTTTATTTAGACAGGTAAAGCTACTTTTAGCTAACTGTTGCAACTTTTGGCCTTTTAACTTTTTTCTTTTAGCTGTTAGCTAGTGTTTTTCTCCTTTTAGCTGTTACCAAGTGTTCTGCTTCTTTTTGCTTCATCACTTTTGTTCCAGCTCTTTCATGAGATTTCAGAAGTCATTCAGCACTTTTTCAGATGATGCAATTTCTCCAGCATGTTTTATTTTTGTCATCAAACGAGTTAATTTGTTTTGTATCCCTCAAAATATTCCCAACAAACAGAATCTGTGATACTGTCTTCACAGACCTGCATGTTTCTTGTCGTTTCAGAGCAGTAGCCATGTCTTCCAGCTCAGCAATGCTGCGAATCTTGATAAAGGGCGGGAAAGTGGTGAATGATGACTGCACCCAGGAGGCCGACGTCTACATCGAGAACGGCATCATCCAGCAGGTGGGGAAGGAGCTAATGATCCCGGGAGGGGCCAAGGTGATCGACGCCTCAGGGAAACTGGTGCTTCCTGGTGGCATCGACACCAGTGTCCACCTGGAGGAGACCTTCATGAATGCTGTGACGGCAGATGATTACTACAGCGGCACCAAGGTAACATCCATCTGCAACTGGAAACAATTAAATGGCTGCATGTTATCACTCATGATCATCTATCCATCATCCATCTATCCATCCATGCATGCATCATCTTCCGCTTATTTCAAAGTCGGGTCGTGGGGGCAGCATCTTGAGCAGGGAGGTCCAGACATCTCTCTCCACAGCCTCTTCCAGCTCTTCTGGGAGGACTCCAAGGTGTTCCCAGACCAACTGAGAGACATATAGTCTCTCCACCGTGTCCTGGGTCTTCCCTGAGGTCTCCTCCCAGTCGGACATGCCCGAAGCACCTCTCTAGGGAGGCATCCAGGAAGAATCCTTACCAGAGTTCATGACCACAGGTGAGGGTAGGAGCGTACGTAGACCGACCGGTAAACAGAGAGCTTTGCCTTACAACTCAGCTCCCTCTTCACTACAACGGACTGGCACAGAGTCCGCAATACTGCAGACGCGGCACCAGTCCATCTGTCAATCACGCTCCATTCTTCCCTCATTCCTGAACAAAACCCTGAGATACTTGGTAGCCATGGCCACCATTGGCCACCTCCTGGCTCCACAAATGTGCCTGGCTGTCGATAAAATTGCTCCCATCACTCTGCACTGGCTTGGACAACAAAAAAATAAAATTCCAGTCTAAACAAACTCTCACCTACAAAACTGCAAAACATTCACTATTCAAACATTAATATAGTAAACTGAATGAAGTCAGTTCCCGATGGAGCTTGACTATTTGCGACTTTTTATCGTTACTGTTTCTGTCATCTAACATTTTTTAAATTATTATTTTTTAGTAATCAGCGCCTCTATAAAGTACTTCTGAACCTTTTCTACTACAGGTACATGTACATTTATTTTGTGTTTGTACAAACTAAAAGTGTCACCTAATTCATATCAACAAGCAGGCAAAGCAGAAAAAAATAAACATAATTAAAAAAATTAAAATACACACACCAAAGTAAGAACACATGTAACTGGTGGAGTTGTGAACTACACAAGAAAGCAAGGCAAAGCTTGTGTTGATGTTTGAGTGGTAATGTTTTCACCCCCATCTGTGAGTGGGTGCATGTGTTTGTGGGTCAGTTTGTTAGCAGAATATCTCATCATTCACTGGAACAAAAATTTCAGAAAACAGTCATTGGATGAACATCATGTTGTTGCTCACCCAATTCAAGATGGCTGCCACAGACAATTGACATTAAAAAGGCTATGAATAAGTTTTTTGGCTAGAATTTGGTGTGGTAGTAGTTGATAATCATTAACATATATACTGAGCACTAACATAAAGTTCAAGAATTCTGAATAAAAGTTTAAAGTAACCTGTTTGTCAGAAAAATATTTCATGTATTAGTGGCCAGATGTTAATAAAGATCAGAAAAATAATAGTAGATCCACATCTACAACTGATTAACATTAGGAATCAGTCAAATTTAAGATGGCACCACAATTTATTCACATCAGCCAACACAAAAATGGCTTAAAGCAGGGCTAAACTAAACTGCTCAGGGGCCGGATATCCAGCCGTTATTGTTATTAAGTTTGTTTGTTTTATGGTTTAAAGTCTAGTTTTATTTAAAAATGAACCCATTAGTGGGCCGAACTGAGCTCACCTGTGGACCTGACTTGGCCCCCGGGCCGCCAGTTGAATATCCCTGGCTTAAAGGTCATCAGTTTAATGGAAATTGGTTACATTTTTGTGTGGTAGTAGCTTAGAGTCATGCACACTGTGTAGTCCAAGCACTAACAGATGGCACACGCTCGGTCAATGGTGGATGAAAGTTTGTGTAAAGTTATTTACAAGGTTGGACCAAAACAGCAGACCATTTACTTCTCACGAGACAACCTCAGATTAAAAATCTGGTGGCTTATATGCATCCCTTCAAGGAATTTAAAGGTCTTTCATTTTTATAGATTTTAATGTTTTGTGACCTTGATCTGTGAAAGGTGTTCTATAAATAAACTTACCTGCAAACTGAAGCTGTTCAGAGAGCTATCTACAACAGGTAAGATATTAGTTGTTTGTCTTGATCACGTAGGACGTCTCTTAAGATCTGAACTATCCCTTTAAGTTAATGAAAGCTGAGAGGTGAGGGCTGTGTGGACAAACAGAGACGGTTGATATTCTCTGCTGCTCCATCCCCCCCCCCCCGTTACCCCCCTCCCTGCCCAGTCTGCTGCCATCAGAAGAATCCCACAGAGAAATGTAGATCACTCTGCGTTGCCATGGATACTGAGGAGCTGCTGCTAAGCCTTTTCACTTCCGCCATTGTGCTGTGAAACAATGGTCTCTGAAGCCACACCCCCCGTCCCACCCGTCCTCCTTCGCACTCAGCTGCCTCCAGGGTCAGCGGGCACATGCTCGATGTAGCATGCACTTATACACAAAACACACACACACATATGTATATGTATGTGTGTGTATATATATATATATATATATATATATATATATATATATATATATATGTATGGTTAGCACTGTTGCCTCACAGCAAAAAGGTCCTGGGTTCAATCCCCGGTTGGACTTGAGGTCTTTCTGTGTGGAGTTTGCATGTTCTCTCCGTGCTGCGTGGGTTTTCTCCAGGTACTCCAGTTTCCTCCCACAGACACAAAACATGCATGTTAGTCTGCCTTCAGGCCCAGGCCTCCCTTGCAGAAGAGATCTGTGATCTCAGTGGGATTTGCCTGGTTAAATAAAGGTTAATAATAATAATAAATAAATTCTGAGAATGACCTTTTTTTTTGCAAGTTCACAAAACATTTTGCTAAAAGACAGACATCGCAAAATCATTTAACACCAGGCAGTTGACAAATATATCAACATAAATGGGTCTACTTTAACAATGGCTACACCACAAAAGATTTTAATAAATTATACTTGGAGCTGTTTTTTTGTAATTGTTTTTTTAGGCTGCTTTAGCCGGAGGCACAACGATGGTGATCGGACACGTTCTGCCAGAAAAAGACGAGTCTTTGCTGGAAGCCTACGAGAAGACTCGCAGCTCAGCGGACTCTAAATCCTGCTGTGACTACGCTCTGCATGTGGGAGTTACGTGGTGGGGACCCAAGGTACAGAAACACATTTTGTGCTCATATTTCCACCTCATTGTGTTATTGTTGTATGATGTGCCTGTACCACAGCATTTCTACAACCATCATCCAAGGAGGGCGGCTCCATTCAGTGAACCGTCGGGCCCTCTGGCTCATTTTGGCAACAAAAGTACACTTGCACACGACACTGCAGCTTGACAACATGTAGTACTTGATGGCAGAGAAGATGCTGCTGCAGCACGGGAGTCAAACAGGAACGTGGCGTTGCTCCATCCTCCATTTTATTGGTAAACCGCTACCTTGGGGGACTCCAAATTCTGTTCCTAACTGGGCAACCAGAAGAACGTTAACGTCCTGATGTATGCTCAAAATGTTAAAATGATGTTAGAAATGCAGCTGCCAGGAAAAAGACAAGGAGGAGAAAAATGGATGCAGTTAGAGAGGACATGGAGGGAGTTGGAGTGAGGACAGAGTGAGACGGAGGAGGAGGACTCGCTCTGAGGACCACGAAGAGGAAACTGCCAAAATAAAAAGAAGCATTTTCTACTTTTAGCCTTTAGTAAATCTGAACTGCCGGTGTCAGACAGCCGCAGCTCAGTGAGACCTTTAAAACGCCTTTCTGCTTCCTCTGCAGGTGCAAGCTGAGATGGAGAAACTCGTGAGAGAGGAAGGAGTGAATTCCTTCCAGATGTTCATGGCTTACAAAGACACGTTCATGCTAAGGGACAGCGAGCTCTTCCAGGCCCTGCAGCACTGTAAGGACATCGGCGCCGTCGCGAGGGTCCACGCTGAGAACGGGGAGCTGGTGTCCGAGGTGTGCAGCGGGACACTAAATCTTCATTTGCTCTTCAATTATTAAACTTTCTGGGATTTTCTTGAAGGAAGCCTCTCTCTTGCTTTTATGTCAGAGAGTTAAAGTAACATCCTGTGGTTAGAAGATGAAGTTATAAAAGACATTATTTTTGTGACTTTATGCAGGGTGCGAAGGAAGCGTTAGATCTGGGCATCAGTGGCCCAGAAGGGATTGAAATCAGCCGCCCTGAAGAGGTACGACACTCTTCTTACCCAGCCTCTGTCTTTTCCCATCAAACAAACTCTTTGTTCATTCCCTGCTTTATTCTGTAGTTTGACGTTGAATAAATAAACTCGATGATATTCTTTGTTTCTGTGCAGCTGGAAGCAGAAGCAACGCACCGGGCGATTACAATCGCCAACAGGGTGAGTGACTTACTGTCTAGAAGACACGACGTAGTTCAAGAACAGGCTACAAACTTACAATCTTTGCTAAATAGTTCATCTTTGTCACTGTGGGCAAGAATTATTTGTTAAAAGCATTTGATCCTTTTTCAGTTTTGCTGGCGCTGCAGCGTTTACTGTGTCCAAAAATATGACAACTACCACATTTAAAGTATTTTCCTGAGCGTTTAGGTAATAGACCAACAAAAATGTAGTAATTATTCTAAAGGGGATGGTTTTCAATAATATTACAAAGATTTAAAAATGTAGATTTGTATTCTCAAACTCCTTAACTTTAACGTCCTGAACTATAATCCAGAGCAAACGACGGCCTGCAGAAGCTGCTTAAATATTCCCAGCTGTGAGCCTCACAGGTTTGTAACAGAGCTTTTGATCAAACAACATCATGAAGACCAAGGACCACACACCACACTGGTCAGGGATAAAGTTTGGTTAGATTATCAGCCTGAATCAAGGGTGAGCAACGTTTATTTTTTTTTTCCAGAGGACCAAATCAAGATATTTAAAGCAGTTTAAGGGCCGCTTATAGAATTATAAAATAAACTTTCTTTAAGATAGATAATTTGGAAGAGTTTTCATTTCAGAGTTTTATTTTTGTAGCAGAGCTAACATGCTTGTTAAAAATATACTATATCAATACTCCAGCGAGTGTAAGACGTACTTTTTGATAATTGGCTCTTGTGACGATATATTCAGCCTAAATATGCACAAACGAGAGAATATTATACGTTTTCTTTTTGAGTTCAGTCTAGTTCATTAAACACAACAAAAGTTTCAGCCTGTATTAATCGAAATGTTTTCTATGTATTTGTTCTAGACTTTTAATTTAAATGTTCTTAAAATTAATTGATAAAATGCTACTTTCTATCAGCTTATTTAAAAGTAGTTTTTTTTTTCCCAATTAAGAATATTGGGAGCCGGATGGAAATAGTCCAAGGACCACTTTTGGCCCTCGGGCACAAAGTCTGTCGTGCTAAAAGCAAGAAAATAAAAGTGGAAAGAAGCAGAAATGTGTAGAAAACACTACATTTAGCAGAAATTAACAGAATAAGCTGAAATACGAAGAGAGAAGCTAAATAGATTTAAAAAAAGTCCTAAATTAGCAGCAACAACAAACAAAAAACACTTAAATGAGCAGGAAAAAGGCTAAAAATTGCTAAATAAGTAGCTTAAAAATGCTGACATTAGCAAATAGAAGAGCATAAAAAGTTGAAATTATTTAAGAGCCACAAAAGGCAAAAAATTAGCAAAGAGAATAGCTGGAAAAAGCTAAAGTTAGCAGAAAAAAAATCTCTAGAGTAGCTGAAAAAGCAGACAGAAGCTGAAATTAGTATAAAAAAGCTAAAAGGAGTTGAACTTAAATAAGAGCTGAAATGAGCAGGAAAATGTTTTGAAGAATGTGGAGAGCTCCGTTTATTTTCTTTGAAAAATACATGGCTGAAAATGCTAAATATTTCGAAACGTAAGAATTGCACAGGCACCAAAAGTTACAGCAGGAATGTCCTGAATGAGCCGAACGTTTTGAGATATGGCAACAAAGTTCACGCTCAATCATCCAGGTACCAAATCCAATAATTCTCAGTCGGGTCATCTGGACAGTTTCTTTTTTATAGAGACGTTTCGCCCTCTATCCGGAGGGCTTCATCAGTCAGAGGAGTTCCAGTCATTTTGAGATATGAGTTATTCAAATAGCTCAAATATTTCAGAACAAGTTACATGACAAAAACTGTACGGAAGAAACATGAATCTCATGTGTGAAGGTTTAAAAAGTATTTACACAATTAGGTGACGTCTGGATGTTAGTAAGGGTATCAGAGCGAATGGGGATGAACACAAACACACATCACACTTTTTAAACATTTTATTTGAAAATAAATGTAAAAAAACATAAATTTCCTTTCACTTCACAGTTATGAGCTACTTTGTGTTGGTCTGTCACAAAGTCCCAGTAAAACCCTTTGTTAGTGGCTGAATCGTGACAACGTGTGGAAAAGCTGAACTCGTTTTCAAGACAATGTAATTAAAACCACGTGTTGCGTTTCTCTCCTTCAGGCTCACTGTCCCATTTATCTGGTGAGCGTGTCCAGCATGTCTGCAGGAGATGTGGTGGCTTCAGCCAAGATGCAAGGTGCTCCTCAGCGTTACCTGAGATCTCCACACACAGAAAATCCTTCCTGTCTGGACATGCCACTGTTCTCTTGCTAGCCTTTTAAATGTATTATTTGATTTGAAAGCGTTTAAAATTTTTCTGGCCACAGGGAAGGTTGTTCACGGAGAAACGACCACGGCGTACGCCGTCCTGAACGGCATGCAGTATTATCATCAGGACTGGTGCCACGCTGCCGCCCACGTCACTGTGCCCCCTCTGCGTCTGGACCCCAGCACTCCAAACTACCTGATGAGTCTGCTGGGAAAGTGAGGAAGAGTTGACACTCATTAGTTGACACATTCTCTTATTTGTTAAAAGCCTGGCATTTCTTTCAAGGTGACCCCCACTGCCTTTCACAGGATGACGCTCATCCATGACTCTGAGGACAAATAACAGTTTGGATCAAATCGTGCAAATTACTTTATGTGTAATCCATCATACACGTTTGTGTTGTGAATGACTCTCAGCTACTACCACATTGAGGATTACCATAGTTCAACAACAGCCATTGTTGATTAGCTCTGGTGGTCATTAACTCCAGATGTTAATCAGCTGTAGGTGTATATCCACTGATGACTTTATTCAGTCAACCTTTATTTATCCAGGAAGGCTCAGTGAGGCACGAGGACTCATTTTCAGGACCTGTTTTAGACAGACAACAGAGTCCAGTGTGAAGTATAATTTCACTGCTCTCCCCGGCCCAATTTGCACAACGCATTAAGACAATATTATTAGAGGGATACGCATACAAGGAGAAGATCAAACTATACATATATATATCTTTTTGCTGACGATATTTGAATCTACTTGGACCAACCTGTTTTTATAAAAGTTATTTTTTTAATCAGCCAACTGACAAACTGAGTTGTCTCCGAAAGTTAAAGATGTAACGCAGTTCGAAGCACTTGGAGTGTGTTGTGCCTGTCAGCTATGCCCACAGCAAATATTTGCACACTGCGTGTAATATTGACTGAATTATTGTGATTTTTGTGTTAATAAGGACAGTTGGTTGTTGCAGCCATCTTTAATGTAGTAGATTTCAGAAGTTAATCAGTTGCAGAAGTACGTTCAATAATTATATCCTGAAAGTTTCATTAACGTCTGCCCAGTAGTTTAAGACTAATTTTGCTAACATAGCTGACTTTAAAATTGTTAATGGCAACATTTTAAACAAAGATGTGTAATACAGTATGGTAGTGCTCAAAAATGTGTTGGGGGTTAGTCTCAGCTACTCTCACACCGTGTCGTAGGCCACTCTTCATCGACTGAGTCACTTGGCTGTGGCAGCCATCTTGAATCAGGCTGTTTCCAAAAGTTGACCGGTTGTAAATTTGCATCCATTCAGGATTTTCTGAGCCCATCATTAATATCTGTCAGCTGGTTCACAAGACGCTAACTTATGCAAACAAACCCACAAACAACGGGCGCGATCATCTCATTTAGATCGGGGCAATAGTAGCAGCTCATGCCAGTCTTTGCCACTGATGCAGAAATTAATGGGACTCGATGCTCTCTCTGCAGCGACAGTCTGAACGTTGTGGCATCAGACCACCGTCCTTTCACCATCAAACAGAAAGCTATGGGCAAGGATGATTTCACAAAGATTCCTCACGGCCTTCCTGGCATTCAAGACCGCATGAGCGTGATCTGGGAGAAAGGAGTGGTAAGCATTTGTTTTCTTGTTTTCTCCCAGCCTGGTTTTCAGCTGTTTTTGTAATTTTGCAAACATGGTAGATTTTATCTCTGTTGTAATTTCCAGATTGGAGGTAAAATAGATGAAAATCGTTTTGTCGCGGTTACAAGTTCAAACGCAGCCAAGATCTACAACCTCTACCCCCGGAAAGGCAGGATCATCCCTGGAGCTGATGCTGACGTGGTGGTCTGGGACCCCGAAGGATCCAAGTATAAAACTTAATCTGCACATTATCGAGCAGCATGTCTCACTGCAGCGTTGTCTTCGGTCTCCGACACCGACTGCATTTATTAAACCAGGAGCGGGCAGTGATTTTTGAATATGTGAAGTGAAAATGGGGGAATTTGAAGAATAAAAACAACCATTATGACAGACTTTTTTGCAAAAGGATTATGGAACAATTATACACCGTAGTTAGTGCCCCACCCCTTTCCTTCAACAATTCTGAGTGTAATAATTGTGCTGAAGATGCTAAAACTGGGTCGGTAGAGCTTTAAGAAGCAGAACAATAGCTAAAAGCATGCAGCTAGAAGGTAAAAAGTCAAAAGGCTAGCTAAAAGCTAATGACAACATTAATAAAAAGCATCAAAAGTTTAGCTAAAATTCTCAGCTAGCAGAAGCAGAGCATGTCTCTGTTTCTGAAGCTTCTGTTTCATTGGAGGGTTCTTCAGCTGCAGGACTTTTAATTAAAAGCAACTTTAAGTCACCGGTGTGGGTACAACACTTTCATTTGTGAGCAGCAGGAATTGCTGCATGTTGGACATATGTTTGTAGAGGTGGCCGAAAGGTATGGGGACTGTACAGGACCAACAAAACCAGGATGGGTGAGAGGTGTTTAGTAACATTTGATGAAAATCATAGAACTACCAGATAAAATGTGAAGGATGTTTTTGCCTAAAGTGCCCCTCCCTGAACCGTCTCCTCTGTATCTGTGCCTGCAGGACCATTTCGGTGGATAACCAGTTCCAGGGCGGGGACATAAATCTGTACGAAGGCCTCCGCTGTCATGGCGTGCCCCTGGTTACCATCAGCCGCGGACGTCTGGTCTATGAAAATGGCATGTTCACGTGTGCCGAGGGTTCTGGGAAATTTTGCCCTTTAAGGACTTTCCCAGATTATCTCTACAAGAAGATGGTTCAGAGGGAAAAGGTATGAGCTGCACATTCAGTAGATGTATATAAATAAAGCCTATTAAAACAGATCTAAACATGCGCTACGTTGATGTTCCCCACTGCTGAGGGATTTATATACTGAACGTTTGTAGCTTTTAAGATGAGTGTTTTTCTGGACTGGAATTGAACAAGTAATTCAAGTAAACCTTAATGTTTGTGGTGCAAACTTTCAAGTTGCTTAAAAGTATAGTTTCCTTAAATGATTGGGGGTGGGGGGTGGGATTAATCTATGGTGGCCAAGGCCACCATTGGCCACCCCCTGGCTCTGCCTGCTGGTGGATGTTGTTCCCTCCCCTCACCAGGTCCCGTCACTCTGCGCTGCCTCAGACACCCGCCCCCCACCACGCCCCACCACGCCCCCCAAAAAACTATTTGTCAGCAGCTCCTACCCACTTGAATATCTTTCTCCAAAAACATTAAGGTTTCCTTGCATTCCCTGTTCAATTCCAGATTAAAAAAAACCACTCATCTCAAAGACTACAAAAATTCACTATTCAAATCCCTCAGCAATTATTTTATCATGTTTATATGTGTCAAAGTAATGTTTTTTTTTTTTTTTTGCTCACCATGCTCCATAATTTTACTGTTTGATGTGTTTATGCCCTAATTATTGTAATGTTATTGTGAATATTAAATGTTCCATGGCCCTTGTTCCAGTCAGTCTTCAAGGAGCGGTCGGTAAAGGGACAGCAAGAGATCATTTTTATTCTCCTCAAGGTCTGATTGATATGATTACAGTGATGTGGATCCAGAGTCCTTGGGAGCTGTCAGAGCTTCCAGATACAGGACCTCATCGCTTCTGTCTGCAGCTGGTTCTGGTAACAGCCTGACAGGGCGGGGAGGGGCTGGGTGTTCTCTACAAAATTAACTTTTCAGGTCAGGAAGTCAGAAAGGGTCAGAGCCTCCGACAGGTGAAAGCATTGATAAATGTGAACTGGTAAAGTCATTGATCTTCTGTGATTGCTGGCTGTTCTCCAAAGCTTTGTAGTAAATCTGATGAACTTACACCTGGTTGTTTTGGGAATCTCTTTTTTCCACATTGATACCTTGTTTTTGCAGAGCCAAGCAGTAAAAGCTGTTGAACGAGAGCCCTACACAGGAGAAGTTGTTGCCGTGGTGAATTCAGGAAAGAGGGACCTGGGAGCTTCAGAACTGGACACCCCGACACGCCCAAGCACACGGCATGGGGGTGTGAGGGACCTCCATGAGTCCAGCTTCAGCCTGTCAGGTGAGGATTAGTGAAGTTACAGTTAAGAACAGCCAAGGAAAAAATATGGAGCTATTTTGTTCACCTGTCTCGGTTTGAGACTCATTCAGTGCCAGAAAAATTTTCTAACAAAACGACTGAACTTTAATTCTGTAGTTGAAAACATTTGCTTCCCATCTGGGACGCTTTCTAAACCCAAAAATGGAGCATGTGAGCGTTCCGGTATTTTTAAACTGTATGAGTCGCTCAGATGTGTAATGCAGGTTTAACTAGCCGCCTCTCACCAAAGTCACTAGAGTCTTTGTTCTCGATGTTTTGGTCGCATGGATGAAGGTGTGAATTAGAGTGAAACCACCGGGGAGTCAGGCTGATTGTTGCATTTTACTTAGAAAGACGGGATGAAAAGGGAACCAGATGTTGAAAACCTATTAGTTTCAAAGAGCCGTTCAATTTTGAATGGTAGTGATGTCAGCTGTATACAGCTGTATGTCGTCATGTACACAGCTGTATACAGCTGCATGTCGTCATGTACACAGCTGTATACAGCTGCATGTCGTCATGTACACAGCTGTATACAGCTGTATGTCGTCATGTACACAGCTGTATACAGCTGCATGTCGTCATGTACACAGCTGTGTACAGCTGTATGTCGTCATGTACACAGCTGTGTACAGCTGCATGTCGTCATGTACCCAGCTGTGTACAGCTGCATGTCGTCATGTACACAGCTGTGTACAGCT